GAATCATATTAACACAAAACAATCCATTGCAACTACAATCAGATCTCATGCTGCACATGGTGTGAGTAGTTTTCTGCACAACAGCGGGACGCTTTAAAGTTGGTTCCTTGCTTGATGATGTGCAGCCTGTTGTCTGCAGCTCTTCATCTAACATCTTACCTTAGCAGCAAATATACAAATAAAGACAAGAGAGAAGCAATATTAACAAGATGACTCTTCTTCTCTAAGACAACAGAACAATGTAACCTTGGAAAAGAAAAAGGAAACCAAGATTTTTAGCATCAAAAATGTGTCAGCTATTGACCATTTGAACAGCTGGAAGGCAGAATGTACACTGTAGTGGGATGTTGTTCCCTTTCTGCTTTAAAGACAAAATAATGCAAAATAATGTTAAAATAATGCTCCACCCAGTGAAAGCATTTTATTCAATAGATAGATAGACACTTTATTTATCCCGAGGGAAATTCAAGAAAGGCCATGATAATGAATTGGCAACTGTAAGATTAGATCAAGACCAGAGTGCCGTTGTGATGAAGTGCTGTAATGTGTACTCACTGTGCGTGTGGATGGTAGTATATTGTTCTGAATTTTAAAATTATAATCCTCTGAATGATCCCCAAGTGTAATATGATTACATCTTTTTTCTGTAACTGTAATGGATTACAGTTGTGTTTAGTGTATTATAACTATTTATTCACACAGTCTGCAGGTTAACTTAGTAAGCACGCCTGAGATCTTATAGACATCTGATCAAAAACTGTAAAAGATTATTGATGATTACAATTGGTCAACAATGTGCAAGATTTCTTCTTAAAATTACGATCTGGAGGTGGATACATTGTCCGTGAAGTCTGAAGTCGTTGCAGGATATTGTTAAAACCTGCTGATGTTGAAGTTTGAAGAAGTGTTTTGCAGACAAGCTTCCTCTTTCCCGCTTTCTGGATCAGTAAACACTCAGTACAGCTTTAACTGTTTATAGTCGAACCAATTCTACACACACACACACGCACGCACACACGCACACACACACACACACACACACACACACAGACAGCTGTTCTGTCTGGAGGTGTTTCCTATCACAGCCCAGAAGGAGAGCTGACAGTGATAAACTGGAGTCTGTTCGTGGCTTCATTAGCTTCTAGCAGCAGGTTAACCTCAGATGGCTGTGTGTGTGTGTGTGTGTGTGTGTGTGTGTGTGTGTGTGTGTGTGTGTGTGTGTGTGTGTGTGTGTGTGTGTGTGTGTGAGAGAGACCTGGGGTGACAGATTGCTTGTAATTTACTACAAACACCTTAGGTTTTGTGAGGCGAAGTGAAACCACACACACCAAATGGACACAGACACACAGACAGACTCAAATTCATTGTCCTCGTGGGACTTCATTAGGAGGCTCATAGGTAACTATTAGCACTAGGTTAGTAAAAGGACGTGGACAACACCAGCTGTGGTACAGTATATTATACGCATGCGCAGACACAGTCTCTGCACACACACACACACACACACACTCTGCACACACACACAAACACACAGAACTGTTATTAATAGTCCCACTCCTTGCAGGCACAGATGTTGTATGTTATTAATTAAAATGACGTGGCTGTTGAGGGTGTTTGTTTCTTTTGTGCGTGTGAATCTTCAGGTATTGTACAGCAGTGTGTGTTCAGCACTGTACACAGAGCTGATGTGTTCAGAAGAGCCGACCTCAGCATTCAGACTGACAGAGGAGCAAAGGCATCACAGCGTCACAATAAATCAGATCAGCTCTGTCAGGAATGCTCAGCTCACACAGTAAATGGAGTTGACAACATGCTGTGACTTTGGGGTATGGTTCTAGTTCGGGCGTGCTCCAGCATGAATACATAAACATGAAAAATAACGTGCAGGGAGTGCCGTAAAAAGTCCTCCGGCGGGGGGGGGGGGATTAATGTAGAAATAAACACCATCCAGGGAGCAGAAAAAGAGTCAAAGCAGGTGGAGGCCGAGGTCAGAGTCAGTTAACAGTGAGGTACTATGTGGTAATATATCTATCTGTCTCTATCCAGTATGTGATTTATACAGATAAAGCGAAATAGTAACAGAATTTAAAACCATCTGAACAACGAGCCGTATTCGCCAGTGGAGGCAATGCTTGTCAGTAAACACAATATTGGTTCTTAGTCTTCTTTCTGTTGCCATTTTCTTCAAATGTCAAATGGCTTCCTCTTCTAGATCAATTTTATTCTCTGCTATTCGAGCAAATAGGCTAAGCAGTAGATGGCAAGCGAAATCGTAACAACAGCCTGAAAGTACATGATGTTTAAATACGTAGCTGGTTACTAACAACCGCACACAGTGCAATAGCAAACAGCACTAAAGAGGGCGCTGCTTTCTAACGTCATCAGTTAAAGACACACCTTAAGCGGGTAGCCCTGTTGTAAAGAGGAGACAGATCCCAAGAGTCAATCTGAGGCATGCCAAGCCCATATGTATGGCTATAAAAACTTTTATCCTAAAAGGTCCTGATATATCTCATATATCGATTAATTATCTAATATTATCTCATTCACATTTAGGAACTACTACTGAAGGTGTATTATTCAAATGTTTACTGATGTCCCATCACTTTCCTGGTCAACTTGACTGCTAAAGATGTCAAAATACCACCATGTTATACCTGTACTTGTGCACACGTCTAAAACACCTGTCTTGATTTAATTAGTGTGATCAATTGTACGGGTGTAAGAAAACATCAAAAAATATCTTATCGTGATATTTAGTTTTGTGATATTGTATCGATTCTCAAAAAAACACTTGATTTTTGTGTTGAAACTCCGAACAGCTACATAACATAAACTAGGGGGTTTAATGTTGGATATAACAGGGACTGTGATAAATACACACGTAGATCCCACACAAACTTTTTTTACTCAGATTTTATGCACATGGTGGTGTGTTCTTTATACTAGTACAGTACCATTCGTACGCACCAGCCTGACTATAAAAGAATGGGTATGCACATGACTGCAAGTTTTAATCATAAATCTACATAATTTTATGCATGTGGACCCTGGTACCTTCTGCACACAGTCACACTGGCCCCTCAACTCAACAGTGTCTGAATTATTTTGTGAAAATAAAAAATCTGCTCCCTTTTTTTTATTGTTTTCAGGAAGTTTGATACTTAATTCACATTGGCAAACATCTTCACATTGAAATAGAAATAGGAAAAACAATACATGCATGAAATCCACAGTTTGGAGGTGATGGTGACATCTGGAAATGTCATTTTGTAATGTTTTTTTTTTTTTTTGTGGGAAGCTGCTGCTGTCAATGTGTCATAAAGAACAGCTGGTGGGTTTATTGGCCAGTCAGAGCTGCCATCGTTAGAGATTCGATTATCCCCCTCTGTACTGTTAGACGTCCATGTCCCCACTGTTTTACTGTTGTCTCTGAGCAGACAGATGTGGTTGGCTCGCTGTCAGCAAACACAGCGGACACACTGTGTGCAATGTCCATCAATAGAAACATGTAGAGACAACCGCAGATCTGTTAACATCCAGTGAGAAGGAACAATAGACACTGAGCTAATAGACACAGCATGTAATGAAACACATTTACTGACTCAGTTCCTGTTATGGCTGCTCAGACCCACAGTGATCCGCTCTCAAATCTACGAAACAATGTTATCTCAAATGAATTTTTAATCTATTTATCATCCACCGAGATCCTACGAGCTTGTGTGAAGCGAGGGAGCCTCAGTGGAGATGATGGAGAGCTGTTGCAGTTACACCTGCCGGCCAGCGGTATCATTGGATCAGGCAGGAAGCAGGAAGAGTCTGCTCTGCTGGGGAACGCTAATAAGCAGTGACACTGCCTGGTGAGGGCAGGAAGGATTAGAGGAATAAAAATAACTCTTCTCTTTCTTACTAGCTATGCATGTGTGTGTCTGCATCAGTGAATTTGTGAGGAAATGTCTCCTTAACACAGTTTTCATTAAGATTCGTGTAAAAAAAAATAATCCACCTAAAATGCTCAACCTGACTGTGCCAGATGGTTTGTTGCACAGAACCATGAGGGAAGTTGTCATTGGAAACTCTGGAAAAGGGCAAGCACTTACAAAAACATACATGGCAGGTGATTGGATGAACCGTCCGTCTATCACAGGCGAAATTCAGTCAGTTCTTTACTCTGCTTTCATGGAAGAAATACTCCAGCGTTCATATGACTGAAGCTAGCAGCATCAACGCTAACCTTCGTAGCAGCTGCCATTGTTGTTATTTGAGTCACTTCTCACACACGTCGTTACAATCATTCACATCTAGCATTAAACTACGGCTGCAGCTCATGCCGTAGCTGCCAGTAGCCTCTCATAGGACGTTGATCGGTCCAAACCACAAAGGTTCAGATATGCACGTCATAGATTGAAGCCTGGCGAAGTTGGATTCTTAGGATTTCATGAACTTAAAACATTTGATTTGAAACTGCAGTAAACAGAATTGAATTTATATTATTATTTATTCAAATGTATTGTTGATTGAGAGCTGTTTTGGTTTTGGTATATGAATGTTTGGTTGCAGTATTAGTAACGTGCTTGTCAAAATAAACTGCTTTTCTCAGTCGTAATTTCAGTGATATAATATCTTTATATATATATATTAAATAAAAAAGAAAATAAATATATTTAATAGGTAGCAAATTAGGTATTTTTAAAAATGTAATAAAAAAAATGAACCTGCCTTGTCAGTGTTCAAATAAACAACTTTGCTTAAATACAATTTAAAGTTTTGTAAATGTGATCAGGAAATAACTGATCAGAAAGTAATAAAAACGTCTAAAAATCAACCATTCTTTTGCTGCCAACTCTCACGTTTTAAACCTCTCTTCTATGAATTAATTTCAGTCTCAAAAACTTGAGGTTTGATACTCAGCCCCACTGCTCCCCAGCTATATGATGAACTAAGCAGTACTTTGTGTCTTATCTGTAACCCTCCACCCTCTTTCACTCTTTCTCTCTCAGATTATCTGTGCAGCCCAGACGAGAACATTTACAACATCGACTTCACCAGGTTCAAGATCAGAGACATGGAGACCGGCACAGTTCTGTTTGAAATCACCAAACCTCCGTCCACAGGCGAGTCACCAAACCACTCTATGGATTTGTTTCATTAACCCTTTATTTACCATGAAAACACTTACAGTAAACACATTATAAAGCAGCTTCATACGTGCTGCACACATTCATTAAAAAAATCTACTAATATCAGAAACATCCTCATTATTATTCTTCTTGAGATTTTTATGTATTTTGTTGTCAAGTTTATAAAATATAGAAACAAAAGATCCCCATCATAGTCTTAATCACACTTTTATAATTTCTAAGCACAATATCAATGTTTATTAAATGGTTTATAACACACTTCAATGTAGTTATAAGGAGGTGCATGCTGGTAGTGACACACAGCTCGTGGAGGCAATTAAGTTACTCTAAAACTGACGGCCACATTTTGCATTAAACATCATGCTCGTTCTCTGAGTCATAACTCAGTCAATTCTGAACACACAGACATGGTACACATATTTTTAGATTCAGTGGGACTTACACTTACAAGGGTATCATTATCTCATATTCCAAAACAAAGAAACTATATATAAATAAAAATATAACTGCAGTCTTATGTCTTTAGTGATTAATGTAATCCTGTTATAGTTGTCTGTACATTAATGGGTACAAAACAATGTTTAGTTCAGTTAGGAAAACAAATGGCTGTTTGTTCTTTACCAAATAAATGCATTATTTTTCCTACTAGACATAAACTGAAATATAGACCTGTTCCTCATTATGGTTTTCTGGCTTGTTCAATATTGTATTTGCTGTAAGAAATGTTTGTTTTCAGCCACCACAGACAAGCCAAAGGAAAATGTCCATGTCTAAAAATATTTTATTTCATTTTATTCTGTTCCATCCCACACAAACTGATCTTCGCGTTAGACAAAGCAGGCGATAAGAGGGACGTTGACCCCAACGCCGGCCGATTTGTCCGTTACCAGTTCACCCCTGCTTTTCTCCGACTGCGACAAGTTGGAGCCACGTAAGTGAGAACGTGTGTGAATCTTTACCTACAACGATGAAGTTACCAGCAGATTGATTGCGGTGTCCTTTGTCTCTCTCTCTGTTTAGCTGTCTATGATTTCTCTGTCTCACTCACCTATTTTCTCTCTGTCTGTCTGCCTGCATGTCTGTCTGTCTCTCTTCGTCCCTCCAGGGTTGAGTTCACGGTCGGAGACATGCCGATAGAAAACTTCAGGATGATCGAGAGACATTATTTTAGAGACAAGCTGCTGAAGAGTTTTGACTTTGAGTTCGGCTTTTGCATGCCCAGCAGCAAGAACACATGTGAACACATCTATGAATTTCCACCTCTGTCTGAGGACAGCAGTAAGTCTACACACACACACACACACACACACACACACACACACACACACACACACACACACAACCTACAAATGTCAACCTCAGGGTGGTGCAGATGAATGTCTGGAAATTGTATGGAAATCTAACTAATATTATATCTCAGTCTGGACCAAGGCTGTGTGTCTACAGACTGACATTGCATCCCTATAGAGCCATGCAGCTAGCATAGCTAAAAAAATAAGTATATAAAGAGTATGTGTATTCATCGTTAATCACCTTGACTCCCAGTTGGGAACCAGCGCTCTAACAGCAATGATGTTTCTGTGTCCGCTCACAGTCAGAGAGATGATCCTGTACCCGTATGAGACGCAGTCTGACAGCTTCTACTTTGTGGACAATAAGCTGGTGATGCACAACAAGGCGGACTACTCTTACAACGGCGGGACGTAGAGGCGACGCGCTGACACGAGAGGCAGGTGGAAGTACGGACCTGAGGGACGATTAGAGCACACTGGTGGGGGTTAACATCCTGTCAATCCAGTGGTCTATCTCTCTTTCTGTATCTCTTTCTGTATCTCTTTCTCCCACTGAGTGAATGCCACCTAGAAAAAAAACGCCCATGCAGATGCGTCAGTCGCAGTCTGTGTGTGTGTCTGTGTGTGTGTAAGCATGTGTAAGGTGGTTGAAGCCTAAAAAAAAAAAGAAGCCACATGCAATAAGTGACAAACACAGACACACACACACACGGACACACAGTTAACGGGTTGGTGTGGCGTCACTGTAACAAAGTGTGTTTGTAACATGATAAACCAGCAAGTGAGCAACTCTTTAGGAATTATCCGGTGGTTTCTCTGTCCAGCCACTTCATGAAGTGAGAAAAACAAAACCCTCCAACATTGATAGAAATTATCTTTTTCATTCCTATTTTAGGATCAAATCTGAAAACGTGTGTTTTTAGGACTTCAATAGCAGTTTTGAGAATATTATTTCTCATCTTCAGTGAGTGTGTGTGTGTGTGTGTGTGTTTCTGTACTTTGTATGATTGTCTGTGTAAGTATGTCAATTTGAAGCATGATTACTGGTCTGGTAAAAAACAAAATATATTAATTTAAATGTCAGTAATGTGGTCATCTAGTTTGCAATGGTCAAATAGATTTCCAAAAACCTGTTAGCACATTTTCTACACAGCAGTTAGTCATTTTGAATTTATCAGACCTATTTCTTGTTTCCTTATCCCCTTTGTTCCTTTATTTCTTTGTCCCGTGACCTGTATTAACCGTAGGACATATGTGTTTATTGTCTTTGCTCAAAGCACAACATCTCTACAGAGCCAACAATTAGGAAACATGTAAAAGGGCGAGCCGATCTGATATGACCAAAAAAAAAACGTCCTCATCCGTGTATGAACTGTACTTTTCGAGCCTCGTGTTACTTTGTTTAGGTGATAAAGAACTTTGTTAAGTTGTACCTAACGTATGTGTCCAAGTTTAAAGTTTTGCAGTTTGGAGACTCTTCATAAGAGAATAAAAGGAAAACTTTGTAAATGTTGATATTTTATGTCAGAATTATATTGCAAAAAAATTAAGAAAGATGATTTGAGAATGTAGCAGAAGTCTTTTAAAGAACAAATCACCCTTAAATCTCATATATTTTTTTGTTTGTGTGTAATCTGATGTTCCTGTTTCTGTTTGGCAGTCTGATTTCTGCCTCTGATACATTTCTATGTCGTTGTTTTCACTCTGACACATTCCAGTGAGTTGATGTGTTGATCTCTTGTTATTTGAGGGCATTTATTACGCAGATCACACAGGAATCAGTAACTGAACTGTCTTGGGATGCCTCTAAACTGTAATATGCACACTTAGCTGTCTCTCTGTCTGTGCTGAGACACAACCTGACTCAAATAGTATCCAAATAGCTCTTTTTTCCCAGCATATCTGCACATTCTGTCTGATTTGGTGCGTTTGAAAGTCAGTTTAGTGTCTGTGTTTGATGACTTTGGTGATTCTGCTTTAATTGCAGTCAACTCCACCCATCTGTCACAACAAGTGTGGTCAAACAAACGCTAAAAAATACTAGTTGAGCCAGGTCTGTAAGGAACTGCTGGCAGTTGAAAGGAAATTACTTGAATGCACCCGTTGTGTGTTCAGATCAACACAAAAAAAAGGTGTAAATTGATTCAGATTGTCATTGACTCAAAGTGATTAAAATCTGGGTGACTTTGTTTTGGGGTTTTTTGGCCTGCACAAGTTGCTGATTGTTACCTGCAGTGAAATGGACGGGAGGCGATTGGACTTGAATGTTTAAGAAAAGATTTATTTATGACCGACTGTGACTCGTGTTACAAATTATTTTGAACTGATGTTAAGTTTTTGACAATTCAAATGTTGGTGTGACTGAACAAAAGTGAAATAAATAAAGATTTTTTGCAATATCACAGTGTCTTGTCTGTTAATGTGGGAAAGAGGAAGGGGGGACACACTTTGTTCACACAATGAAGCTTTATTTTCTGAATATTCTGGTCCATAAACACGTAATGTGGGAAAAAAAACACACACATTACTCTGCTGGGACGTCTTTCTGTTACATTTTAAACCTTTTTATCTGTACTCTCTACATGATATTAGTAACACCTTCCTTTCTCACTGTCAAAGGATGTTTTTCACCGTCACCTGCACTTTGTGTAGACATCCTCCTAACTTACTGGAGTGGATCTGTTAAAGGAATAGTTGCTTTTTTGATTGATATCACTCTCATGCCTGTACGAAGCTGGCACTAGGAGGTGCTTAGCTTAGCATAACAACAGCAAACGGGGTAACACAGCTAGTCTGCCTCTGTCTGAAGGGAAGAAAATGAGTCTACCAGCACCTCTGAAGCTCACTAATTAATAAATGATGTCTTGTTTATTTAATCCGTACAAAAACCAAAGTGTAAAACATGTTTTGGTTTCATGACTATTTCTCAGCAGGGCAACGACAAGACTCCAGAAAGTCACTGCGCCCGGCCAAGAAATAATCTGGTACACAACTTTTGTTGTAAAAATGTGTAAAAACATTCATCTTTACAAGCTTACTTTAATTTAGCTAGGCTAGCCGTTTCCCCTTGTTGCCAGTCTTTATGCTAAGCTAAGCTAAGCTAACTAGCTGCTCACTGTAGTTTCATGTTTACTGTACAGTCATGAGCGTGATCAATCTTCAATCAAGAAAATGAATAAGCGTATTTCCTAAAATGCCAACTATTCCTTTATGAGCTTTCACCTGTTTTCATCTTGGGAGTTATAGAAATAAGAAATAATCAGCTGAAGTCTGCCACAGAATTACAAGATAGGAAAGTTGATGCTTGTTCATGGTAAAAACAGTGTGACAAAAACACTGATAAAAAATAAAATATACAACAGAAAAACAAATACTTAAGGTCCAACATAAGGACCACAGTAATAAGTTAAATTAACTGATACAATTAATTCAATTTGCGCTAATTTACATATTGTCTTTAAACACAACCTCACTCAGAAAAATCAAAGTATTTTAAATAATCACTCAAACATACAGTATTGTGCATCTTTGCATCATTTCAGACTGATAAATAGATTAATAAAATGACATCACATTTGAGGAAATTTGTACAAAGAAATGACCTCAAGTTTGTTTTGTTCTGTCACTGGAATGACACGAGGAAGTACTGAACACTAACATTGTGTACAAACGTTTCCAGGTTATCTCAGTTCTGGTTATTTAGTAATACATGTTTGCTTTATTGATTCAAAGTATGTGGTAGTACCTCACTCTTGAGTGAAACTGGGTCTTAATTTAAATTTTGGATTAGGTTCATTCACCAAGTAACCAACTTTTCATTTCCCCCCTTTCTTTCGTTTCTCCTTCGATAATAATCAAAGCTTCTGCTACAGCTCTTGAAATTCAACATGGATTTTACTTCCTTCCTTTAGAGGCCCTGAAAACTTCTTAATAGTCATGGGATCCATATGAACACACACTTGTTTTCTTCAAAAGTTTGAACAGTTTTTTGTCATTTCACTTGAGAGATTTCTGTATTTCTGTGTGTGTCTCAAGCGGCAAATTCTGTGGCAAATGAAGCCAACACTGAACTGCAGTTCCTCGAACAGCCACTTGAGGCTGACTACAGAAGTGATCAGTCTTCACAAAGCCTGTGTTAAAATTTACAACCTTACAGCAGAAGTAAACATGTACAGCCTGGTCTTTATTGCTAATTTCAAGAACTGTTCGGGGGGGGGCTTAATATAATAAATTATATTAAGGCTTATGCATTATTAAGTGCTTTGAGTGACAGGTGGGTGCCTTCACAGGCGGCTGGTTTCAGAAACCAGGTTTCATTCAGCTCCACTCATGCTCTACGTCTTTGCCCACTATGGGTGACGTCACGGTGTCCATTTTTAAATTATACAGCGTATATCTGTGCTCTTTTCACTGGTTTGAAGTAGGCGGGACACGGTTAGAAAAAGGTGATGTCATATACTTCCACCTCCAATGCACATTACCTGAGTTTTTGAGAGTTCGACCTTTTTTACTTAGATTGTTGCTTATTTAGTCATGAAAATGTATATTACAGAGAAATAGATTTGAAGTTTCCAAGGGCTTTAAAAAAAACTACTGAGTGTCATTCCCTTCTCCATCTCTCTTTCTGCCCTCCAGTACTCAAGGTTTGACCTGTGTAGTGTTGGCCCACTGAGGGAAGGTGCCCATGTCAAACATGGCGTATCCCCAGGTGTTGATGCCTAAATTAACAGTCAAAATCCCAATGATGTTCAGCATGAAGCCGGCTTTCACCTGGAGGAACAGACAGTTACATTCATATCAGTATACAGTACAAGTAAAGGTCAATAACCAGGGTACATGCAGGTCTTGAAAAGTCTTATTAAGAATTTAGGTATAAACTAAAAGTGACCCAACACTGGGTGGTGCACAAGAAGGTTTCAGTCAGCACCATCAGACCTGCTAGCTACAGGAAGCTCATGAGGGTCATTTTTTACCCAATAAGTTAAAAGTTAATTATATCATAGAACTGATTGTTCTTATATATTGCTGCCACCATACAGAAGCCAATAAGCCAGTGCTTCAAAATGCAACTAATTTAAATAACTAAGGAGTTAATGGGGACAAAAACTTCCCTCAAGAAACACAATGTTAGTGTATTTCTTCCAACAAGAAGTGTGGGTCTCACTAGTTTTTATCACTTCCATTGATGTGTGTCTCGATGGCTAATTTGATTATTATTTTCGAAGATACTAAGGCTTAAAAAGGGGTCCCTTTCAAGGAGAGCTTGTTTGATTGATAGATATGCCTTCCTATCACATTCACACTTGCTTTCTGGTTCATTTGACCACAGCCCACCAACATAATCCAATCTTATTACCCCAAAAATATTGATTGTCTGCTTCTAGACTCAAAACAGCTCTTAAAAAATCTACAATATATATATCCCCCTACCGCAACAAAGACACAATCCTTCAACAGTTATCATCTTTTAAATTAGATCTTCTCACATGAATGATACTTGCAAAATAGATTGTGTATAATCAATATATCTCACCATGTCCATGACTTTAAGCTTTCCAAAGGAGAAGGCGATGGCGTTGGGTGGTGTAGCCACAGGCAGCATGAAGGCCAGGGAGGCAGCGATGGTGCAGGGCAGCATCACATACAGCGGGTGTATCTTAATAGCTATGGCCTAAAACACACCAGAACAACCTAGTTAAATACATGGAGAAGCTGTGTGTTAAAGCCTGTGTGTGCATGTGGACATCTGAGCGCTGTTTACCATTGAGGCCAGTATAGGCAGGAATAAGGTGGTGGTGGCCGTGTTGCTGGAGCACTCGGTGAACGTCGCCACCAGCAGGCAGAGCAGCAATGAGATGGCGTAGGGGGGAATTTTCTCCAGAGGTGCCAAGCTGTCTCCCAACCACTTGGAGAGACCTGACACCTGTAAACAAATATTTCAAGCAGGAATGTTCATCTTTTTGAAAAAATACTGCTGTTATTATCGATGCTCAAGGTACGGTAAGGTCCAGACTGAAATATCTAATCAACTATTGGATGTATTTCCATAAAATCTGACACAGACATTTATCTTCACTAGAGGATTCATTCTAGGCTTTGATGATCCTCTGACTCCTCGTCTAGGTCCACCAGCGGGTATTTGATACAGTGTCAATGTAAAGTATTGCTTTTGGCCACTTTTTATCGAGGGCCATCATCAAGTTAGACCAGGAAAACATTAGTCTTAGTGGGACTCAGATCCTTTTCCACATTATTATTAATTTGGTAATATCTTTGATGCTACATGGTTTCTGTACTGCATATCCCAGAAATCACTCCTTGTTCCTTTACCTTCAAACTATCTGATAAAAAAGTGAGGCTCCAATTATTTACTAAGTAACCATTTGCTCAATGTGAAATCTTAAAAGTGCCTAATTTCTTTCAAATTTACATTTACAATTAAATGAAACACAGAAGTGCAGGAAATCCTCACATTTGAAAAGCTATGGCATTTTGAATTGTTAAAAGAAATTTGATTAATAATTGATGATCAAAACTAACATTCACTAACTGATTTGTCAACAAATCCTTTGAGCACAATATAAAAGGGGACATGAAGTCTTAAAAGGAGTAAATACAGCATTCATGGATGTTTACCTCACTGCCTGCAGCCAGAGCGAAGCCTCCTCCCAGCAGCAGGATGATGTTCCAGGGCATTCGCTCGTGAACCACCTGCCAGTTCAGCAGAGTCGAGGGAGCATTCACCTTCTTACCTGTGAGACCCAGATGAAGTGTGAGCGTGAAACAGTAATTAGTTTTAAAGAGCAGCGTCATATCCGCTGGGTAATCATCACCCAGCGCTCCAATGAGCTGAAATGTAGGTCACACGAACATCATTAAGGCATTGTATTAAGGGGGATTTTTTTTTTCTCCTTAAATGTGATTAGTGTGTTTAAAATCAACATTTCACCTTCATCGTTGTAACCATAGCCTCCGCACCTTGGCATCTTGGAGGGGATGACGAAGAAGAGCATAGACATCAGGATAGCGACGGTTCCATCTGTCACAAACCTGATGGACACAGAATATGTTGCTGCCATGTTGTCACAGTGCAAACGTGCGTGAACTAAGAACAAATACGCATTCATTGATGTAAAACTGCTATGTGGTGATGAAGAGATCAAAACATTTAACTGGAGGACAATAGTTTAAGAGTTTCTGTACACTTTGAAGGGATAAAGAGAGCATCGAATGAAAAAGAGAGCTACAATGAAGAACAGGAGGAGGAGTTTAAAAGGATAAAGCTGGAAATTTTATTATTGTCAACAAATCATCTCTCAATACTTTCTGACCTCCCCAACATAACTGTAGCGCTCAGCCCAAAGCTCATAAGATGCAACTGTTTACAAAAGGGCCACAAATACAATTGCTTCTGTAAAAGAAGAGAAGCTGTCTGTAGACCAGTCCACTGTTGACACTAAAAAAATAGAATATCACCACTCTTGTTGTTTAAAGTCAAAGCCAAAATACAGGAAAGAAAACGAGACTCACGTTTCTTCCTTGTTGAAGAGTAGTGTTGCCCAGCCAGCTATGAAGCCTGGCTCCCTGGTGAACCACAACACCACTAGCAGGACGAAGATGATGAGCACCGCCACCTCAGCAAACTTCATGCCGCCCAGCTTCTTGTACTCCTCCCTCATCACAGCGTACGCCTCCTTATCTCTGTCGGTTTTCATGCCACAGCCAAATGTCTGCTTCAGGCTGAGGAGAAAAGTACAAAGTGCAAAGATGCTGCAGATTGGTCAACAAATCAAGGACGTTTGAAGATTTATAAGCATGGACTAAGGTCAATAAACTAGTTAAACTTTAAGTGAGAGTGAACCGTGGATTTACAGCATTTTTCATAATGGTGGCGTTGTGGAAGAGCAGAGTTTTTCCTTCACTGTTCAATCATGTTGAAGCATTTAAAACTCTAAAAATGAGTGCTGTGTGCCTTGATGCTGTGATATTTCTCACTCGATTAACAAAAATAAAAAGCCTGGATTTATCTCTGAGAACTCTTTTACAGCACCTTATACCAGTGCTAAGGCTAACAGGCTGCTGGCTGTAGCTTCATATTTAATAGATCCTCTCATCTAACTCTCCACCAGAAAGTAAATAAACATATTTACCAAATGTTAACGGGTTAGGTAAGGTGTGTTTTTTAGTATGAATGCAGCTTCACTTTTAAATGGTCAGTTCACCCAAAACATAAAAAATACCCCTAATGATTCTGAGCCGTGCAAATAGTTGATTCAATGGAGGTCTTAAAGTACACTGGAGGTGAATTGAATGTGTGTGATGTTTCTCTACAAACAATATGCTGATTACTCAGGATAAAGAAGAAGAAAACTCTTTATATTTCTAAAAAAGTAAGTGTTAGTAGGACAATTTTGTTTTGTTTTGTTTTTATTTATGTGTTAAGTGGTCATTGAAAGGGTTCGTGTGTAGTGGCATAGCGGTGTAGCAGTTTGTAGATAAAAACAGCCCATTCTAAGGTAACGAAAACACAACAGTTCCTATTTTCAGGTAATTATACACTAATGAAAACATACATATAAATATTACATTATATTTCTGCCAATAGATCCTCCTAAATGTTACACACTGGACCTTTAAACATAAGGCTGAGTATGAGATAAAATATTTCCTCATTGCTCACAGAAGCATCTGTGGCTAACTGTATTAGGCTGAAGTTGCCTTACTTGAAGCCCAGGAATATAAACTGAAGCCAGAGCCAGGTCAGTATCAGCATGAGCACCATGTTGGGAAAAGCGAAGCCGAACCAGCTGGCGAAGTTGATGACATCACCATTGTCAGGGAAGAGCCTTCGTAAAAGATGAGAAAGATGTAGAGATGAGAGGAGGGAACTGGGTACAATCAGCTGTAACATATCTGGAGTAATAATATTTATTAATGCCTTACTTGTCAATTTGACCCTTGAGGATGAGGTTAGGTGTTGTGCCAGTGAGCGTGGCCGTGCCTCCGATACTGGCAGAGTAACACACACTCAGACTCATCCCTTTGGTCAGGAGCTCGTACTTTGCCTCCATTGCTCGACTCCTGATCTCCTGCTGTAAGTCTGTATGTTCACCTGGAGCCCCAAGACATTCAGTGAGTTAAAGTTATAAGAAAGTTGCTGTCTAGAAGACCAGAAACTCATTTATCTAGCAGAAATTTTGACTTACACACTCGGTCCTCCAGCTGAGCCTTGGTGTCTGGCTGTTTCTCATCTGTCATTTCTCCTTTAGTTGGACTGATCTCAAGCTCAAATGCTTGGTTGTCCTCGGCTGTACCCGAGAACTCTCGTGCATCCGCCTGGGCCTCTGTGGCCTTCAGCTGCTGCAGCACGGCTTGGGCGATGGGCAGCATCATAGCCGTTGTGGCTGTGTTGCTGATCCACATGGACAGGAAGGACGAGACGATCATGAAGCCTATCATTAACCTGTGTGAAAGGTTAGAAATCATGAGGAAAGCAGTGGCAGTGGTGATCAGATCTTAATCACAGAGTACCATAGTTGCAGGATATTTCTTAGTATTTTTAGTTATAACATGTAGCACCATGTTGGTGTAGTTTATCATGAAAAGTTTTATGTTGTCAGATGATATCCTTTCCCATTATTTCGAACTATTTTTCAATATTCAAATTCAAAAAAATTTTCGTTGTTAATTGTTTGATTCACAAAATCAAATTTTTAACAAGAAAGAATGAACCAAAATTACTGTAACATTGCAATTAAATGGTAACAGGCATCTCACATCTGTTATTTGTTGTTTCAGTATACTGAAACTATTTTCTAACTAATGAAACTACAAAGTCATTGAATAATTGAATAAATTCAGCTGAATGTTTAAAATGTATTTTTATATTTTGGGTTGAACTAAATAAATTGTAAAGTACCTAAAAACAAGCAAATGAAAAAACATCTTCACTTCAGTCAAACAGAACATAGAGAAACTTCGTTATAAAACAACAGTTTCTAGACACAAGAAAGTGATGAACACGCCCAGACACACTTGAATTAAGTTGCTGAAATTGAATCAGTGGTGTTGAAAAATTAGCTGACATTGTTTTTTAGTTTCTGATTGTGTGATTAAGAAATGAGTGCAGATATTTCCTGTGAACCTATAAGTAAACATATCTGAACCATGCCATGCAATCAGAACATTAAAACAAAAAATAAAAAAACTTTCATGGTTAGCTCATTTCCATTAAGTGAATTAAATTGTTTTGCAACTCATTTTATTGTGTTCTGTGAAATTTACAGTGTTTCTAAATCTATTTCTATTTTCTGTTTTTGGAGCTTTGTTCTGTAATTAAATGTGTCAGAAAGCTGTTTTTTTCTTAATTTGCTTTTTGTTTGTCTTTTTGCGGTTTTTATTTTCAGTGTAAAAGCATTGAATGTTATCATCCCACAGAAACAAACACAGTTTTATATCATGAGAGTTTGCGTTGCATTTTTAACATTTAATGTCAATAAAAATAAATGTGATGTGAAAACGGATTAAGATTATTTCAGGCTCTGTTGTTTCTCTAGTCACAGCTGTATTTTGTTGTGTGCTGTAGTGTACACAGGTGAGCTGTATCACAAGGATTTCTTACAGGGACGGACGAACACCAACCAGCAGCAAAACTCCGAGAGCGATGCGCTTATGAAGGTTCCAGTGCTCCACTGCGATGGCCACCAACAGGCCACCGATGAACAGCATGTTAGAGTCTTTCAGATACTCAATACTGACCTGAAACAGAGCACACAGACACTAACTTCAGTAAAAGAATTAGAAATACAAACAAAGGCTTTGAATTGCTGCAGTAATGTATGAACCTGCTGTCAGAGTACTATTTCTTTATGAGCAATAAAAGTAAAACACAGGGATCAGCAGATTCATCTCAAAGCGACTGAAACAGGTTCAGTATGCACGTGTTAATTCGGTTAAGACAAAGCAGATTTCTTGCTCTTTTGTACTTTTCTTTGATTCTGTTCTTCCGCCATCCTTAAACTGATTTAGCTAATCCTGACCTCTGACCTCCTCATCTTGTGGGGCCGAGCAAAGACAAATATGAGGTTAAGCTGAGGCAAGGCAACTAGAAAAGCTATAAAACCTCAAAGATGTATTTCTACAGCATCAGTGCGGCTAAATCTGATAATCAATTGATCAAATGAGGAGGGGGAATACTACACAGCAAACCCCCCTGCAATTAATTTAAACTACAGGTACATGTAAACTGGCATATAATGAAGCACAAAAGTGTAAATAAGGACTGTACCGCTCCACCCTGCATGATGCCCATCATAGGGAAGAGGACGATTGGCAGTAGGGCAGTAACAGCCAGAGGCATACACTCTGTACACCAGTACAGAGCCATGAGGATGATAGCATAACCACATTTTGCTTCCTGTAAACACATAAACACACACACACACACACACACACACACACACACACACACACACACACACACACACACACACACACAGTGTTAAAGCCAAAATCTTTAAACGAGAACTGACAAGCAACTCATATTCAGTGCATTCATGTGCTTTTGTGTGATACACAGATGTTTGGTACAGACAGACGCACACGGAAGCAGAGATAGATACACATGAACAGTTAAGTACATAAAGTATTTCAGCTTTCATGTTCTTGGTCTTATCTCCAGCCTCTCTTTAAAAGGCAATAAGACTTTACACGTGCAGATAGCTGTTACCCTTGATCATAAAACAAACAGTTTGTTGTTCTCTTGTCTCACAAGATAAGTCTTTATGGTTCCTCAGTAAAAAGCTTTTTCACAAAGACTGTTTAACTACACTGACACAAAACTTTCCACTGCTATGCAGACACACCGTTGTTTCTTTCTTTAGGCACAAGGGTTCAAATTGGTTGTAAGATCACCTGCGCATGGTGAACCATTACCTCACCTTGGTCTCCGATCCGCCATAAAGTAAAGGAGCCTTATTATCAATCAATATGCTGAGGAATTGTTGTTGAGTTGCAGCATTTAAATACATAATAGGTAACTTGGGTCACATGGTTTATAAGGTTAACTGAGTTTGTAGTGATCATGTTAGGAATTCGGCCCTGGAGACATACTTTATCTTTTTTTTGGATTAAGAACATTGAAGACCTGATGAGTACAGTGGACAAAAGGCAGATAAAATGCATTCTTGATAATGTTAGGGGAATGTTAGGCGCTGATATAATGTAGATTTATGTTCTCAGTATTCCCTTTGAAATTCCAATTTGAAGGAGTATGTTGTCCTTTACAGACTGAGAAACGTCTATGTTGTCACCTAAAATCCAATTCCACTGCAATATTATAATAAAAGTGGGAATCAAAGTAACAAACAGTCTCATTTACCTTTTGCAAGGTTTATGTGAAGGTTTTTGGTTTATGTGTTAAGCCATAATGTTTCAAATAACTGTGATGGCATATATGTATGTATTGGTAAAAAACGTGATTTACACAACATCAAACACTGTCTCCAGTGTGGCATTTGCTTGATTTTGCCGATTGAGCTGATGTTATCCAAAGTTGGACTATTTATTTCTGTGTCAAGTTGATTATTTGAACAGGTTGTTCTCAAAGAATAACAAATCCTCAGGACAAATATTTGATCTGCACATGAAACCATATGTACACTTCTGTTGCAATCCTGTGTGAATGAACAGAACTATATTAGCCAAGCATGATGCATGTTTTCATGATGTACCTCTAGGACTGAACTGTACATTGAGGAAGGACATAAGTAGAAAAAAGGAGCACAGATAGGAACACAAATACATTTAGCAACAGTCAAACCCACTGCAACATCGTTTAAACTCTGGAAAACACTTGATGTTCTTTCAGTCAAGATAAACCACACAGATAATTAAAAAGTTATCTCCATGCACACACACACACACACACACACTCACCGATGTAGGGTACTTGAGTGGCAGTGGAAGGAGTATGAGCGGAGTGAGAACGATGATCATGTAGTTTCTGTGATACCACATCCACCTCAAACAACTACGCCAGATTTTCATGGCAAAACTGACAAGAAACCCCAGAGGTGAAAAACTATCCAGAAGACTCTCAGGTAACTCGAACAGCAGATAAAGATCAACACCAACTGGTACTGTGTAGAAAAGACAGAAGGCCAGACAGGTAAAAATGAAGCTACACACCAAGGACAGGTGAGCTAACGGTAAAGCACAAGGAAGCTGAGGAAAAGCAGAGATGTGCTCCACAGGGAGCCACTGAGGTAATGAGACTAAACATGACTGCAGTCTACTTTTTCTATCTCTTGTGGCATATCAAACATTAACTCAACACCAAAGAGATCACAATCCTTGACAGAGAGGCAGATAAAGTTATTGGAAGAAAAAAAGAGAGAGAACGGTAAAGGTTGAAGGGGGTGGAGGGATTGACAGGTGAGGAGAAAGAACCGAACAATAGGGAGGTTTATCAAGGAGAGCAGCTCCGTCAAAGGTCAGGTGCTGCTGTTCATGTGCAAGTGAGCTGAAAGAAAGTTTGTTCAGTTCACTACACTCTATTATGTACTATTTATTTACAATTACATAATAGTTTGAATCAACCGGGAAGCTCAATCTTAGCACAGAGACTGGAAACAGCTTGGCTCTGTCACTGTGACAAAAAGTTCACACATAAACACGTCTTTTCTGTTTAATCTGTACAAAAACCAAAGTTTAAAAAATGACAGTAATATAAGAAAAGGACCTGGCAACAACTCCACAACTTTTATTTCTATGGTTTACCGTGTTTGCTAACAAGCTAAAGTCGCCTGGGTTATGAAAGTCTGTCAGTTAGATAATTAAACTAAAATGTTTTATTTATGTTTTTATGAACCTTAATTACAGTTTAGTCTACAGCATAAAAATACGGACATTTTAGAGTCATTCGACTTCAGCACAGCTAGGCTAGCTGCTTCCAGTTTTTGCACTCAGCTAAGTTTACCAGATTTTAGATAAATCTCTGTAGTAACTTTATGTTAGCATTGTCAATGATTTGATTGAAGAGTGGGTTACTGACTACAAATTAGAGCTTATAGATGTTATAATAAGCCTTTAAACCAATAAAGAGCTACATTTTATGATCTTACACAACACACGGAAATTATTGAGACCTCTCGGTTTTATAACTTACTACACTTCATATAGATAAGGCTAGGAATAGCTTCAATTAAGCCATAAAACACACTGTCAGTCATATTAAATCCAAACAAGTGCTTATGCTGTATCACAGAAAGCACGGACAGTACGGAGGATGCAGCTTTTTTGTACACAAGTTGGTGACTCATTTATTAATTTTAAATCAGTAACGCAGCAAGTTAATTCTGTAGCTTAAGGAATATTTTTTATATACATTGTGGGAAAGCTCAATATAGATGTAACCACCAATGACAAGAGAGTTTGGATGTTTTCAACTTTTCAACAACAAGGAAAATGAAGGAAGGACAATCAATTGCTTTACTGCCGGCTAAATACTTGAAGAATAGGACTGGACTGCACTCTGTGTTATTGCAGGTTTTATGGCAGCCAGTATTACAATGCACTGTCTATGAGGACAAGTTCAAAGGTTTAGTGATTATTGTCTTCTGAAAGCCGGCCTCTTCTTCGTCACAAGAAGGGCTGCTGATGTGTTCAATGACTGGTTTAATATTTGATGTAAAAAGTTAGTATGTAACGCTTTATCAGTGTTCACATGAGAAGAAGATGCATATAAAATCTTTATTTCTCAGTCACACACAGTTGTAATCATTAATCACTCATTGAAGTTGTAATCAGTCATTTTTCCACAAGGAGGAAATGCAATGAGGATGTGATACCGATCAGCATTCATCAATATGAATCAGTATAGGTATTCAAAGTGTCTCCAACTTTTACAAACAATTATTATTAACTTAAAGCTGCAACAATTTTACATATGAAATTCAGTTTTCTCATCCTTAGGGCTTCCACTCAGTCTTTAAAAATAGTTTTCTGTGGCTCTTGTATGAGGAATTAACACTGGAGACGTCATCAAGGTAATCTTGGATTGGATCTTAGACCTAAAACTCTTGACAGAAAGCCTGTGTTATAACTGGAGAAAGACGCTAATGAGGTGTATTGTGGGAAATGTAGGATCCATTGTTTTTGAAGCTTGATCCATAAGGACCATATTTTGGGATGTTTAGGTTCTGCTGCTAATATGAGTCCCACAACTTTATGGAACTGCAACACTAAACTGCTGGAGTTCGCCTTGAAGGTCAATATAGATTTTGGCTTTAGTGGTGGGTTGGACTGAACAAAGTAAACTCAGTTAAAGGACCAGTATGTTGGACTCAGTGACAGTGAAGTTTCAGACTGCAACCATATGAATACAAAACTCACAGAAAATGTGAAAGGCCCAATCTAGAGCCAGTGATTGGTTGGATTCAACATGGCAGACTCGGTAGAAGAGGACCTGCTCCCTCTGTAGATTAAAACGGCTCATTTAAGGGTAACAAAAACATAATAATTCTTATTTTCAGGTTTCATTGTACACTAATGGAAATATACCTTGTTTATCCTAACATTCTGTTGCACAAAAGCTTCCTTAATTGTCCTTAATTATTTAAAGTTTTGCTCTATATTACTTGTATTTACCATATATTAATTCAGTTTCAAATTAAATACGCTTTTTGTTTTATATAAATGAACACAATCTTAGTTTAACTTAATCCTTATTGGTGCATCTCATTTAAAACTTAAATCTTAATCATTATAACTCCAGTCTGAGTCGGTTTTCTGGAGAAAAACAATATATAATTAAATTCAATTCAGTTTTATTTGTATAGTGCCAATTCATAACAGAAGTTATCTCAGGACACTTTTCAAATAGAGCAGGTCTAGACCGAACTCCTTATAACATTTACAGAGACCCAACAGTTCCACCATGAGCAAGCACTTGGCGACGGGGGCAAGGAAAAACTGCCTGTTAAAAGGCAGAAACCTAGGACAGACTTTCGGCTCTAGGTGGGTGGTCATCTGTCTCGACCAGTTGGGGTGAGAGAGAGAGAGAGAGAGAGAGAGAGAGAGAGAGAGAGAGACAGACAGACAGACAGACAGACAGACAGACAGACAGGTGCACAGCAACAACAGTAGCAACAACTACACTAATAGTAGTGACTGATGATGATGAACATGAAGAAGACGATGACAACGACAACAGCAACGATGGGGGACAATGAGCAGCGACAATAGTAATAATAGTAACTGTAGTAATAATAATATCAATAATAATAATAATAACAATAATATCAGTGATATTAGCGATGGCAGTCAGGCAGGACCATGGCAGGAGGCTCCACCAGGATCCATGAGAACCTGCGAGACGAGAAAGCACAAGAACTCCGGGGAAGAAGTAAAGTTAGTAACATGCATTAATGGGACATGAATGAGTGCAGAAAGAGAGAGAGAGAGGAAGAGAGGAGCTCAGTGCACCATGGGAATTCCCCCGATAGTCTATACTACAACATAGGAGGGGAAATCAACAAACGGACCATTAATGCTAAAGATATATAGATCTGAACAATAATATTAATAATCAGAGTAATAATAGAACAACCGCGACTTATTATACAACCCTAATCAGATCTTTTTTTATCAGTGTGTGGTCCTTGAAGTGATCCATTACAGATATGGTAGCAGCCTCAACTGATAGAAGCTGCACTGAGAACCAAAGTCCTAATAATAAGTCTGGGTTACCTTGAGGTTGTCAAGTTCTCACTGCACTTCACACTGCTGGCTCTGGTGCTACGGGGCCAGACGTGCTTCAGTTTCACTGCTCTTTGACTGAGACATTTCCTTTCTATAAAAACAAACAAACAAGATCTTTCAATGTTTAACTGAGTGATGAGGAAGTAATAATATCGCTTTAATCTGTCCGCAGGCTCCAGCTTGTCCGCCTGGTAGTGATCTGCTGGTTTCAGCCTCTGTGTCTCTCCATGGTGCTGAATCTGATCATTAACTTCAGATAATCTCCTGTTGGCCATAGTCCAAAATTAAGAAATGTGCTTTTTTTAAAATTTAGAAAATATCTCACATTTTGTTGCACCTCTTTTTTATAATGCCGCTCTAGTTATCAGAGCTAAATTGGGAAGATGGCACTGTGTTTGCTTTAGGGTTGTTTTTTTTACACCAGAGATCAATAGAGGAAAAATACTGCCCTGGTTACACAATGTTTGAGCTCAGATACTTGTTCCCTCATTCATCCATTCGTTAAATCACAAGTTACCAAACAGGGGCATTAACATAAATAAAATAACATATGGTATCATATCCATATATAAAATGTTACAGCCTTTACAGTCACCAGATCTCAACCCAGCTGAACACCTTTGAAGACAACGCACCTCCATCACCAAACAATGTAATATGGACTGTTATCTTCAAATATATTCAGTGTCTGTGACTGTTTGTCCTTTTGTTGTTTCTTTCTGTCTTCTGCACTCAAATCTCTCTTGCAAAGGAAATCTTTATTTTTAAAAATTTTTTGTATTTGACAGGAATTATACATTTAGGCATTGTTACATTTAATAAAAATGCAACTGATGGACTTCTAGCCGTAGTTTATTTGCAGTCCTTGTTCCTTTTTAGAGCTTTTTTAGGAATAAAACACTCTAATACAAGCAGAGGTGAAAACAATCAAACATAGACAAAAGATAACTAGAAACTGAAACAACAATGAGTGCAAGGACCCTTTAAGAATGGACGAGAGATATTACAAGATAATAAAGTGTTCACAGATTTGCTTTTGTTCAAGTGTTGAAGTATTGAAAGCTTTATCTGTGTAGATAAAGTTGTAAATATAAATGAGGGAATATATTTTGGAGGAATGGTATCGTCCAATAAAGTTTCCAAAGTTTGGCAAGGAGCATTGAGGCTGTTCTGGTTGCATGAGGAGGCCTGACTAAATACTTGTTTCTCCTCTATTTTAACACCTATCTATACTTATAAACTTATATACTACATTATGTATCGACTTTATTAGACAATAGCACACTTTTACCGTTTCTAGTCTGGTTTGTAATTTTGCATTTCAACCATTTTCCTAATTCAGAAGCATTCAGCTAAACAGACTCTTCTAATTACCTGTCTTGGTATAAAAAATAATTCTAGATGTTATTTTTCTGTAAATTCTGTACCTTAAAGTGATCATGTTCATGATGTTTCTGGGACAGACAGGACAGAGATCAGCCATCAACAGTTTAATCATTATCACAACAGAGAACTGACCAATCAGGAGAGCGGACGCCTGGGGTCAACAGCTTCTGAAAAATATCTATTGATCATCTGCACACAAAACTGCAGCCCAAAGTGGGGCACTCAGCTCAAACTCATCTATAGTTCACTGGTGTGAACAGGCAGAAATGTGCACAGTTGAAAACTGAATTAAAAGTTGGTATATTCTGAGTCAGCATGAAGCCAGCGGTGGTTCTGCTGGGCCTTGTCCTCCTGCTGGACACCACCTTTGCTGCAGAAGGTAAGTCTTCCAGGAATTTAATTTTAGACGTATAAAATGCAGTGTTTTTATGTTAGTACATATGCTTTATCTTTAAAGTATTTAATCAAGTACTTTCCCGTGCATTTACCATACAGTGTGTCTGAACGTAAGAAAACAATTCTCTGTTGTGTTTTTGTATTTATTCTTGATGAACAATTACAGCTTTTGTTTAAAGTGTTTTTAATACAGTGTACACTGGTTGTACACTGTAAGTATACAAAGTATCCCACTGGAGGGACCCAGGTCCTATGTTGGGAACCACTAAAATACATAGTAACTTACAGTATGCATTGGTGTAATAATCTAATCATGCAATATAATATATCAGTCAAAGGAGCATTTTTTCTGTAGAAGGAATGTTTGTACTTCTGATACTAAAGTACATTTTCCTGATAATGTTTCTGCACTTTTTTATGTGAGTGGAAACTTAAATGCAAAATCTTAGCCTTAAATCTAATGGAGTATCCTACAGTGCAACCAATCTACTTTTACTTAAGTAAAAGAGCTGAGTATTTCTTCCACCACTGTTAAGTCATTTTACACTGAAACAAACAAACTGCACTTCCACAGAGTCCTGTGTGGGTCGCTGTGGTTCCTTCGACCCGCAGAGGAAATGTCAGTGTGACTCCATGTGTGTGTACTATGGAAGCTGCTGCACCGACTTCGACGCCATGTGTCCTAAAAAAAGTCAGAATCAGAATAAAATACTTGGATTTTATAATTAAAGTACTTGGCTTTTGTAAAGTATTAATATCTACTGAAACACTGAAACAACTTTCTGCCCTCAGCTGCTCGTGGGGACACCTTCGAGGGAGTAGAGGAAGTAACAGTGGAGGTGGCGGCTCCTAGCGAGAGCACTATGACTCCCACATCAACTTTTAACACAGTGGCAGCAACCACCCCTGCCTCTCCCCCGCCCACAACCATACCAGGGCCCACGCCTAGTGTAGAGCCTGATGCAGCAGGCTGCAGTGGGCGACCTTTTGATGCTTTTCTGCAGCTGAAGAATGGGTCGATCTATGCATTTAGAGGTAAATCTGGACATCCAAAGGGGTTTCTGATGTATAAGTGTATACACAGAATGGTTTTCAGATGAGCACTTGAGTTTATCCAATGAAGGACAAGTTGAAATAAAGTTGTATTAAAGTGTTTAAAAACATATGTCATGGTTTACTGACATAGTCTTTACTGCACTCAGCTGCCTGTTATAAGGGATCAAACTAATCTGAAGGCATTTAAACTCAAATCTGGACAACTTGATTGGACAAGAGTGCATTTTATTTGATATTCTCTTCATTGTTGATACTGTGATTGGACATGACATTGATCCAAAGCCTGGTTTTCATCCAAGGTGAATATTTTTTCGAACTGGATGACAAGTCCATACTTCCTGGTTACCCCAAACTCATCGAGGACGTGTGGGGAATGTCTGGGCCAATCGACGCCGCATTCACACGCATCAACTGCCAAGGGAAATCCTACATCTTTAAGGTAGGAACTTCAGTCTCAAGAGAGTCTGGGAATATTCTGTACTCTGAATACTCTTTACATGAAAACCCCAATTAATGGTGGTGCTCACAAACATATAGGAATATTTATTTTAGATATATTATTTTAGCCTTATTCCCTTTAATGAATTAGATCTGCAGATACATAAAGGGGTCAGTATTTGAGCATTGCAGTGGTAGCAATAACCCTCGCTTTGTGTTTCTTCTTCCTCAGGGGAACCAGTACTGGAGGTTTGACGGTGATGTCTTGGATGAAGACTATCCACGGGACATTTCAGTCGGCTTTGATGGGATACCAGATGCTGTTGATGCTGCGTTTGCCATACCAGCACCAAGTCACCGTGGCAAAGAGAAAGCCTACTTTTTCAAAGGTATTCTTATAGAGATGTGTGATATTTTTCTGGATTTAAAAGCTCCTTGTGTCCAGTGTAGTAAGTGGTCGGATGCAACTGGACTCACATATGTGAGTTCCAAGCAGTTTAACGATTGTCTTATTTGAATAGTTTATTCTGCTTATCGAGAGTGCTTTTACTATTGCTAATGCTAACACTTACTGAATGTACTTTTACTTAAAGCAGCCACAAGGAACTTTCATATTTTGTTGATTCTGGCGCCCTCTGTGGACAAAGGTGGTAGTGTTTCCACCACCTTGTTGGGCTTATGTAGGTCATATAGAGGCATCAGTATTAAGACTGTTTCATAACAAGTTAAATACTCCTTACAGAGTATTTCTCCAGTGTGGTATTGCTGCATTACCTCAAGTGATCTGAGTATTTCACCACTACACCACTGGAAACCTCTGCTCCAAAGTGGCATTTCCGTGTCTCATCATGTCGTACTGAGGAAAGCTTAATTACTAAATACTACATGAATCCATGTCAAAAAGTCTCTAGTGACAAAAAGCCTGTGTGTTTCTTTTTTTTTTTCAGGGGACAAGTATCACCAGTACGAGTTCAAGCACCAGCCTTCCCATGAAGAGTGTGTCCAGATGAGCAGGTCCTCCCCGTCTGTGCTGTTCACACGATACACTGACCTCTTCTGCGATCAGACGTGGGAGGATTTCTTCACAGACCTCTTTGGAAGCTCTTGTAAGGCTCAGCTGTGTTTGTTTGTTTTCCTGCGTACTTACTTGTGTGTACGTCCCTAATCAGCTCTCATTGTTCCCCCCCTCATTCAGTGAGCAGCCACAACACGGGCCCTCGTTTCACCAGCAGGGACTGGCAGGGCATCAGGCCCCCTGTAGATGCTGCCATGGTGGGACGAGTCTACCTCAGTCCCAAGCCCACATCTCCTCCACTAACGAGGAGACGGAGCAGCCGGAAGAGGAGGCCCAGCAAGAAGCGTGACCAGCGAAGAAGGCAGAGTCGCCACGTGTTGTTTGATGATTTGTGGGGTTATGATGATTGGTCTGACTACAGCGACTACAGCGACATCACTGATGAGAGCACCACACAGGAGTACAAAAGCACCCCTGTTCAAAATGTGTATTTTTTCAAGAGAGGTATGGTGGAGTAATTTTTACCCCTAAGTGCTACTAATTACAACAGAAAATTTCAGTAAAAACCATCACAAGAAATAAAATTCTCTTTAAGCTTCTTCCTTTAACACTGTTTTGTTTGTGTGTTTGTTTTTCTTTTCGTGATGGCAGATAAATACTACAGGGTGGATCTGCAGACAAAACGTGTGGACTCTGCCAGGCCTCCTTACCCACGATCCATTGCGAAATACTGGCTGGGCTGCGAGCATGAAGAGACACCAGATGCATCAAGGGCAGAGAAGAGATAAGGCCAGCTGTAGGGTCTGTAGTATGGAGAAAATAGAGAGAAAATCCACTCTGTGTTTTATACACATCTCTTTGTCACAAAGTAATTACAATATGAATTAATAATAACTTGTTATTGTTTTTGTTGTTGAAGCGTTTAGTTCATGATAAACACCCGCTCTAATGTCCCCTCTATATTTAGGTGGATAGATTGTAATTCTGCATGATCTAATAAACTTGAGATTAAGCTAAAAGATTTCAGTTTTGTGAGTGCCTTAATATTCCTGTCCAAATGTTAAATAAGCAACACACACACACACACACACACACACACACAACTGTCTAACCTTAATCGCTATCTTTTACCTAAACCTGACCGTAACCTTTAAAAAGTCAAATCCCAAAAAATGTTAGTGTTATGAAGGTCTAAAGCTCAAATTAGTTCTCACAAATGATCATATTGGTACATGTAGCTGAGTAATTATTCTCTGACACACATACACTGGCCTCTGCTGGGCAATATATTCACCTGCATCCCTACCCTGAAAGAGGTGCACCCTCTACTGGGCAAAAGAATGCAACAAATAAAATAATGTGTATATCATTTTTCAAATAAAAAGCACACTGCATCACTTTTTTTTTCAGTTTGCATGCATTTATCCTGTCTAAATAATAGCCACAATATATGCCACTCGATACTACCTTTACTCACTGTATTGTTTGTTATACTTTATATCCTAAAGTCTCATATTTTGTTTTTCCATATTTAGTTTTATTATTATTTATTTATTTATCATGGTTTCAGCTTTTGGTGCTTTTACTTATCTTTAATGACAATTGACTCTGTTTAATTAAGACTATAATAAAAAATATTAGCTCCACCTCAACCAACAACAAGAGGAAAATGCTCCATAAACATTAATGCATGAGTAAAAATGGTCTAATGATATATAACAGTATATATAGAATATAATTAGATAAAGTATAGACTCACAACACTTTATATCCTAAAGTCTGATATTTAGTTTTTCCATATTTACTTTTACTATTTACTACTTTTGTCACAAGTCTTTCTGTGAACTACCTCTTTTTCAGTTGTAAAACATTTGCAGTTAATGTGTTGCCTAGCGTCGTCGAATAACGACTTCTGATTGGCTGAGCCGCGTTCGAAACCGAACGTGAAGTGTTGAATAATGACGAGTCCGTGACTACAGTCACCATAACGACGTCTACTGCACTTCACTCGCTTTACAGTGTAAAAAACATACTGTCAATGGTAAAAAACTAACATCCTTAGCATGTTATTTTACTTTCATGTAAAGACTAAGTGCAACATCTCAATGTAAATTCATATTTAACACCTCGCAATAAAAACATATAAAGTCGCTTCCGGTGTCGACTGTAAAAGATTATTTTCTTGTTTATTAGCACAATTAAGTGTTGTTTCTACTGTAACATGCCCAGGTCGTCCAGAGAGACATCCTGTACACACGAGTCATTGAACCTGCTAAAAGGCACCGCTGGGATTCGAACCCAGGATCTCCTGTTTACTAGACAGGCGCTTTAACCAACTAAGCCACGGCGCCACGTGATGACGAGCACTGCAGCAGATCTTATGAAAGAAACACACTCAGAAAACGGGTATAAAATAACATTTGTTTTATTCTGTAAGGCTCATTTAATACTATACAGTGTGTAAATTACCATATTTGATTACTTCTATACATTTTATTCACATGATAAAGCCTTTTATTCAAGGCTGAATCTCACTATAAATATACTCCATTATAGCTGCGCCTATTTACAACGTGGTAATTAACTATGTAACTTTCTTTAACCCAAAAGATAATCAATCATTGCCGCAGAAATGTCCAAATCTGACAGATTCAAGTCGCCCAAGTCGTGAAAGCACAGACCGCTCAGGTCCTCCATGGACTCCTCGGTGCTGGAGAAGCTCTGGGGGTCCTGCTGGATCTGGACGCTCTCCCTGGGTCCGGGATGTGCGACTGCAGCGCAGCGGCTGCCCACAGGCTGGGACCCATGTGCATCTCCGAGGAAAGCCTCAAAGTCTTCTGTCAGATCCCATTCACAGAGCCCGCTGTGGGGGAAAGCATCAGGGCAGTAACCAGTAAAGTCTGGGGTTTGGTAGTAGTGGTCTTGGGGGATCCCTTGGAGATCCGATCCATGCGGGGAGCAGGAGGTCGGGGATGTAGCTGCGGGCGAGGACATGACCTGACCCCCCAGAATGGTTGAGAGCCTGGTGGACTGAGGTAAACTTGGAGCAGGGTATCCTGGTGGAGACGGCAAGCTGGGAGTTGGAGGGAAAGAAGGAACCAGCTGGGAGAAAGGCGGACTGGGAGCTGGGGTGTAGGTGAATGGATGGATGTAGTCTGTGGAGGATTTGGGGAACCCTCTGTTTGGTTTCTTGCTCTTGAAATAACGCGCGCGTCGATTTTGAAACCAGACCTGTTGAAAGGAATGAAATGTGGTTATTTTTACTGCACACTGCAAGGACCGAAGATTACGCACGGGCAAAGTCCGCGAAGCGCATGTCACATACCTGAATTTTAGACTCCGGCAGTCCCGTGATAGAGGCGAGAGACTCCTTCATTTTAATGTCCGGGTACTGTGTGACAGAGAAGGCCCTCTCCAGCTCGCTCAGCTGCGCCTTGCTGAAAGTAGTGCGCTTCCGGCGGCGCTGTGTGTCCGAGCGCGTCCTGTGGGGAGCATCGTGATGCACTGCAGGGAGAGGACAACATCTTACAGTTATTTACTGACCTCTAACACTGAATGAAACACATGCATGAGCACAGATATGAACTAAATCTGGATATTAGTGAATATACAGAAAGGGTGGTGGATTTTAGGCTATACTCGGTTTTAAAAGCAAAAAAAACAAAAACAAAATAAAAGACACCATGCTTTATTATCTCTTATATTCTCTCTGGTTATTAAGCCAGTTAAAATAAGGTCGTAAGTCACTCACCTCTACTGGAGTCCTGTGCGTAATCGTCGTTGTTGTTCATATCCAGGCATGTGGCGGGCCAGTAGTGTCCAGAGTAAAACGTGTTCATCTCAGCGCCAGTAAAATCCAACCCGAGAGCCATCCTTCACAACACAAAGAATAGAAGAGTGTATGTTTCCTCAAAGTCTCTCCTCGACACTACTGAACGCTCAGGATGCCAGAGGTTTTTATACTTTGCTTGACAGACACAAAACGACCCCCCCTGCACCCCCCACATCTCTGTGGATGTAGTGAGGCCTCTTACAAACGCGTGCCTTTGATGTGTTACACACCTATTAACGGCTGTCGGTCTAATAGGTGTGTGTTTGATCCCCGATGGCCCATTAATGTGCCAGTTTAGCCTAGACGGAGCTTGTCCTTCCCTTCAGGAGTGTCAGGTCACACAACACTGAGATCTTTTTAGATGAAATATCGATTTAATTTTCAGACATTCAACGTATCTTGTTGATTTATTGCTTTCCTCCATCTTGTAAAAACTAAAATACTACATTTGGACATGGCAGGTAACAATCAATCGCACTTCAAGTCTGTGGCACATCCTCCACCTCCACAGCCTCGCTGCCTCCTGGTGCGCAGCAGAAATAAAGCAGTGTGTGTGTGTGTGTGTGTGTGTGTGTGTGTGTGTGTGTGCGTGTGTGTGTGTGTGTGTGTGGATGGTGGAAGTGTATTGAAGAGGCTGCCGGAGTGTGAGGCTTCAGCCAGCTATAATGTGTCGAGGTGACAAATCGGACTACTTTTTTTCCTCCTTCCTGGTCGGTTGCGTTTCCACCGATCGAGACATCAAAACAACCGGATAACACACAGTCCAATGCACAGCCAGTTCCCAGGCTAGTGCCAGACTCACAGTGTATGGGCCATTACAGACGGGAATTTAAATCTCCAAACATAAGACAGGGCTCAGAAAGCTAAAGGCTAACACGGGCTTAAGAATGTATTAGTGGTGGTTTATTTAAAATAATGTGTGTATATATATATATATATATATATATATATACATTTTGTCAAAATAGATCTCTTATCGGGGTATTTATATGGTCACGTGATGTGAGAAATGAGTTTGAAGATGAGGCATTAACCTTGATGAGCAGTGAAGTAGTCCACATTGACTCATACTCTCCTGGACAATCAATGGACCATTAAGATCATAACTCAAACTACCTGCTGGTCGTCACATGACTTAAATTAATTAACAATATATTGATACCAGAAATAGATGGGCTGTCGATACCGGGTCACATGAGTCCAGTGACTGACCTCTGTGACCTCTGGGACTTTGACACTGAGCAGTTATTGTGTCAGTGTTTTATAGTTTATGTTATCCATTTTTAAAGCTTATTTTTTTATTTTTAAAGTTTTATTTGTGATATAATAGGCCTGTAAAGTGGTAGAAAAGTAACTATTAATGTACTGTGCTTTAGAGATTCTGTATTTTACTTTAATTTTCCATTATATGCCACACTTTACTGCACTCAACAGCTTTAGTTACTACTTAGCAAATCAATGTATGACATATCAATATGCATGTTTAAATCATTATACATTGTAAAAAAATAAATAAAATAAACTAACAACATTTAAATTGTATATCAATGAGTTGATTTATATATTTTTTTAAAGCAACTGTTAATTGTAGTGAATTAATTGCAGTTTATTATAAATTACGATTCTTTATAATACAAAATGCCTTAAACACAGCAGCTTTTGGTGCTTTTACTTATTCATATTGACAGTAAACTCTCCATAAACACTAATGCATGAGTAATAATGGTCTAATGATATATAATAGTACATATATATAATATCATTAGATAAATTATAGACTCACAGGGGCCTGATAATACTTTTGTACTTTTACCTCAGTAAAACTTTCAATGCAGGACTTTTACTGTGTATTTTTTTTACAGTGTTGTATTAGTACTTTTACTTAAGTAAACAATCTGAATACTTCCTCCACCACTGGTCTTATACTTATTTTAGTTGACCTGGTTCATTCTGAAGACATGTATTAAGTCACTCCTCTACATGCAAAAACCCCCTCTACGTATTACACACACATATATATAAATATATATATAATAAAATTGTGTTGCATATTAAACCAGGCCTAGAATATGGTGGCCTATGGAGCCATAAAAAAACCTTATTATCATGCATATAAATAAGCAATTACTTGTTGGATGTTAATGTGTATTTTTAGACATATTTTTAAAAATAAAAACTTTCTAAACATTAAGCAATAAGTTAGTGGCACCCAAAATGAACCCCAGCTGAAGACTCAGGTTCTACAGTGTGGAGGCATAAAGAGAGTAACAGAACAAAACAAAACCACTAGGTGGCAGCATTAGACAACATAGATAGATAGATAGATAGATAGATAGATAGATAGATAGATAGATAGATAGATAGATAGATAGATAGATAGATAGATAGATAGATAGATAGATAGATAGATAGATAGATAGACAGATAGAAAAAATATAACAAATGCAGATGCTTCCCACACAGGATAGGTGACAATGTGACCTCCACAGTCACCAGATGTGAACATCTATTGGAGATTTGGGAGCTATGTGTTACACAGCTCTCTCCTCCACCATCATCGAAAACACCAAATGAGGGAATATCTTTTGTAAGAGTGCCATCAAACCCTGCAGGAGAGCTCAGATACTTGGAGAATCTATTAGAAAAAGATTGGGAGATGTTGGGTTTCCTGTAGTTTTTCACCTATTTATGTGTTTGGGAGACTAAGAATAATAAAGGTGGTTAAACCCAACAAACTTTCTTTTTCTGCTGCTGCTGAGATTATTAACTAGTTATAGTGAAATGTCTGGGGTTAAATCACAAACACCACACCTTTTCTTCTCATACATTCCTTCTTCATTTCATTCTGAGTCTCTGTCCTGTAGCTCAAACTGTATCTTGTGACCTCTTCCATAAAAACAAACCCACAATACACACAATACAGTCCTTCTCTCTGTGTCTGAATGCTTCAGTTTATACCTCACAAACTCAGGTGTGCACACAGAGAAACGCTGGTCTTCTGTGTCCACACTCCTCTCTCTAAAAAAAAGAAGAAAAATCAGGGATTGACACTCAGGTGTGAATGACGCTGTGCCCTCCTCTCCCTCACCTACATCCTCGCTCCTTCCTTCACAATACACAAACACCATTCCTCAGCCCGCTGTTTGATGTGGAAACTCCGTCCACATTTCCTGTCATCCTGAGAGATTTTTGGGCCTAATCCATGTGCTGCATGGCCGAGGTGAGGGGGTCACTCCTCGCCCGTGTCCCTTGCGCTGTAAAAGTCTTTCTGGATTTGAGAAATAGAAGCTGAGTGTGATTTCAGCTTGGCTGTGGATAAAAGAACTTCAGGCTCTGTAAAGGGGAAGACGGGAAACTTGTGATTTAGTGCAGCTATAGTTACAAAATAAATAGATATTACGACTCAGAGGGAATGCAGAGGACAAGAAACTGAAATATTCTGTCAGCACCGTTTACAGCGCTGCGATCTAGCAGGTCGGTGTCACTCAAGCTTGACTTTGATGAAAGTACAAAGCCAGAAAGTTCATAAAGAGAATTGTGGTTTCAGGCTGAGTTCATTTACTGTTCAATCAACTATATTAATTACACAAAATATAAAAAAAAAAAGCAAACAGATTCTTTCTCAAGAGTGACATTTGCTTACTGTTTATGTTTGGTTTTAGGTTTATATTTTCCTGTTGAGCTTTATGTATTTGTCAGAGAAGGGATACAGTGCAAACACTCGTTACTGTACTTAAAAGACCAGTGTGTAAGATTTGGTGGCATCTAGTGGTGAAGCTGCAGATTGCAACTAACTGAACACTGCCAGCGTCTGTATTTGACCAGCTGGGAATGAGAATGCAAAAGGCCCAATCTAGAGCCAGTGTTTGGTTTATTGTAAGGTAACAAAAACATAAGGATTCCTATTTTCTCTATTATACACTAATGAAAACATACATCTGTTTGTTTTTCTATCTTGCACATTGAAAATGTAAATATATGTCACACATCTTGCAGATTTCCTGGTGAATTTTGCACATTTCTGTTCAGCTCTTTACTCATTTATTTAAGTATCTATTTAGTTCATTTTGTACATATTCTCTCACTCTTTATATTTGTATATAGAAGCTTCTTTTTATTGTCTCTATTTTTTTATCTTTTTATCTTTATTTATATTTTCCTACACTTCATTGTGATTCTTACGCACCAATGTACTGAAGCAAATTCCTCATATGTGAAAACTTACATGGCAATAAACCTGATTCTTGGCACCTTAATTGTAACTTATTAATTAATTATTCAACTCAGGTTTCTTTGTTTACTGTTTACCTGTTCTGCACTTTAAGTTACATGTAATATTTGATATTTTAACTTTATTCTATTCTTCTATTTGTGTGTTGTGTAAAGGGAGTCGGGCAAAGTAAGATTTTCATTGTACGTATAAACCACTGTGTTTCTTACTGTGCATATGACAATAAACCTCTTGAATCTTGAATCTTCTGATTCTGATTCTGATACCTATGAAAACCCTCCTAAATGTTACACACTGGACCTTTGAGTAATGTTTTTCAGGTATCTGTACTTTACTCAACTTTTTACTTTTACTTTTTTACACAAATACTTAATTTTTTCAAAACAAATTTGAACAAACTACTTTAGTTTTCATGCATTTGAAAGGAATTATCGATGTCTTTATTTGTTTTTATCATTGCACGTCTTCCTAATATCAAGACCGTAACATCACAAAAAACGACATAAAATAACCTATTTGAAGTTTAGCTTTGCACAGAAACAGCTGGTAGAAAAGTCCTTCAGAGAAACCAGGAGAGCACATCTTTACTTTCAGTGTCTATAATTCTATTTGAGTAAGGAATGTGTGTATTTTTACAACCTCTGGTATTTGTACAAAGACTCATATGGACATAGGACTAGAAATGCTGTGGTACTTGTCTCTGTAGAGATAAACACAGCAAATAAACACATACACACACAAAAAAAAAACTGCCTCTCATGGACGTGGATCAGGCTGGATGGACGACGGGATACTCACTCCTGAAATAGAATATTCTTTCAATTCCAGGATTTCCAGGAAAATCCGACCGGATCATTATGTCAGAGAGTATCACACAGTGCTGAGATCTACAGCGTAAGTGTGACTGCTGGCATCTGATAAAAGACGGATAAATCCACAACAGGGAACTGAATAAACACTGTGTATTATATCATTATTGATTATATTATTACACACTCTTTTAATTCAGTTGTTGTATTGTGATGTCATTATTTAGATAGGACCATATATCTATTATATAACAGTGTTTGACGATTTATATACAACTGTATTAGCGTCAGAAAATGGCTCCTAAAACTAGTATGAGAATATCTGTTAGTACTATAAAGCCTTATTCACAAAATGTAATTTAAAAAAGTTTGTTCTACAAATTGCTTCAAGGCACAGAGCTCATTTCTTTCTTCTTTCCTTTTGCTGATTTTTGTCAGAGTCAAACAGTAAAATCTAGTGAGTGTGAGATTAAAGAGCAAATAAATACTCAGACACAATATCTGTCTTTGTCGCTTATTCCAGAGGATTCATTATTGCTTGTAAGAGCCTCCATGTATTATCACTCTTTATTACATACATGTGCATGTTTATTAACAAGGTCAGAACATTACTATCTGTAGCTCTCTTCTCCTCCGCCGTTACAGGCTCACAGTTCTTACCTGGCAACACCTGTCCTGCAGTTGATAAGGAAGTTGGATACAAACACACTGGGAGGTGTCTAATTCCCGCAGACACACAGAGGGAAGCTGAATACTTTTCATCCCATGTGATATAATTGCAATTGTAGTCACTCTTATTATTCTTTATGATGGATACTTCATTGTTTTGGCAGCTACAAGCCCACGAGCATTTTAACACAACAAATAACGTAGGCTATTATTTATATTATTATTAATAATTGTTTATTATGAAGTTAGGAGAGCTCTTTGGGTCATCATGCAGAAGTGTTTTGTTCTGGGACAGCGGGGTCCAGGTCTAACCAGAACACCTGGGATAAAATCTCCAAATGTGGCTGCAGAACACAGCTGATCCTTCTGGTGGATCTAAACAGAGAACACTAAAGAGCCATGCTAGTGGCTCTGTAAGGCTGTAGGCACAGCAGTGCTTTGAGAGAATTGCCAGAGGTGAGACCAAGTCACTGTTTTGCAAGTCCTAAACTTTTAGTCCTAAACAAGTCCTAATGCGCTCTTTACTAAATTAATGTCCACTTTCTTCCAACTGGGGCTCAGAAACGTCACGTTAGCTCTTCGTGGTTCTCTCGTGCAACTTGATTGGATGCTGTCGGATTTGAGAATCAGGAAATGAAAAAGTAGTTTCAGGTCAAAAAGCACAAATCCAAGTGAAGCCAAAAGTCACTGGTGTTAAAGTCACAAGTATTTTTTAATCTTGTCGAGTCATGAAATTTTCAACTAGAGTCTGACTCATGTGACTCGAGTCCACAGCTCAGTTAGTTGCTAATGCTAACAGGCTAATATGCTCACAATGACAATGTTAACATGTTTAGTTAATAAGTAATAATGTTTACTATCTTCAACTTTACCATCTTTGAGTGTGTTTGCATTCTCACATTAGTTTATTAACACCAAACACAAAGTAAAGCTGCGGTTAATAATGACATTTGTTTTGCAGGTTTGGTCATAAATTGAAGTTTCATGGTGAACTATTTATTAATCGTCAAGACATTTAACTCGGCCTCGCTAAAAAACTAAAATGTCAACCTCATGGTGGCGCTAGAGGAAAAGTCAGGATAAGTATACAGGCAGAGTGCATCCACTGGAGACCATGAATGTCGGTACAAAATGTATGGAACAATTATGAGTCAGGTAATTATAAGATATCATAATTTCTAATCTAATCTCATAATTTAGATATTTTTATTATATAATTTTGACGTTCTATCACATTTTGACTTTTTATCTCATAATTTCGAAGTTTTATCTCATAATTTAGTTTTTTTAAATTAATCATTTAGATTTTATTACATAATTTTAATATTTAGTCTCATTATTTTGACTTTTTTACTGGTAATTTGGATTTTTTTTATTACATAATTTTCACATTTTAACTCATTATTTTGACTTTTTCTCTTATAATGTTAATGTTTAATCTCATTGTTTTGTCTTTTTAACTAATTATTTAGATATTATTTATCACATTATGACTTCTTATCATAAACATTTTTAATAATTTTGCCTCAACATGTATTTTTAATGATCAAGTCTAAGTTTTGGTCCTCCACAGTGCAGTGGTGCTGGTAGCAGTGGCTGAAAGCCTAGAGGCAGTTAGGTCCTGCCCCTGTGGGGGTGGAGACCTAACGGTAGGGAGAGCTATGTTTCTCCGTCGTTGTCACTCCTCTGCTCCTCTGCAGCGGGTTTTCTCACCACCAACACCAACAGGGATCTCAAGAAAGTAACCCACTGAAAACCAATCAGGTAGGAATAAAACTAAGGCGGCTGTGTATTTCTCTCTCTATCGATTAATGGTTAGATTGATCTGACTGGCTGCAGCGACCATCGGCACTGAGTGAAGGTCAGGAAACGGACTAAAAAAACGCTATTTGTGAGGAAAAACAGAGGATTAAAGACTACCAACCAACCAGTGTGACAGATTAGGAAGATATTGAATGACAACTGTGGAAGAGTTAAGGGTGAATTACAGAGTTATAACGTTAAATATCCGCTATTGTCTCCTGCAGTGAGGGAGTAGGATCAACCGGATATCATACGGTGTGATGATATATGTGTATAAAGTGTGTGTGTATATGATATTACTGCACCTTCAACTCTGACCCAGTGGATGTAATTCTTATGGAGGTTTCCTATTACACTGCTATTACAACACATAACACAAAGAGCAACATAAGAGGCTACCATTAGGCAGGAGGGGCATTTAAACTGCGCTGTAAGACCCATAGTGAGGAGGAA